TTTAAATGTGGTCCTTTTTTTTTTGTTCACCCTATCTCGGGGACTCCAAGATTTTGTGGGGAATTCCCTAGAAGGCCCAATCACCGCCTCCTGCTGGAGCCCGGCCGTGGCCCAATAGTATCGGGGTGTAAGGGTTTGAAAAGAACACTGACTATTTTTTACCCTAAACCCCCTTAAAATTTTAGAATTTCCAACGAAATCTCGGAACTCGAGTCGTGCGAACAGGACTCGCGTCGGGCTTCAGTCGCGTACTTAATTAACGACGTGCGACTCGACTTGGGACTTGAATTTCGACGACTTAGAATCGCTCTTCTTTCGCGCTCGGCCACTCTGGGATTTGCAGATGAACGTCACAAGTTAAAACGTCTTCATATAATGTATAAGTTTAGTTGCGTATCCTTTACAGGACGTTGCAGAACCAACCCCAGCAGCCCCTGGCTGTTGTGTGGTCTCTCTAGGCAAATTTACGTCCAGTAGTTTGCCATTGCTTGGTCGACTTGGTACATGAAGTGACTTGACTCGTGACTCGACTTAGTACAAGAAGTGACTTGACTTGGGACTCGACTTGGTGCATAAAGTGACTTGACTCGTGACTCGACTTGGCACATGAAGTGACTTGACTCCTGACTCGACTTGGTACATGACGTGACTTGACTCGTGACTCGACTTGGCACATTAAGTGACTTGACCTCGGACTCGACTTGGTACTTAAAGTGACTTGACATGGGACTCGACTTGGCACATGACGTGACGACTCGGGACTCGACTTGGTACATGACGTGACGACTCGGGGCTCGACTTGGTACATGAAGTGACTTGACTCGTGACTCGACTTGGTACATGAAGTGACTTGACTCCTGACTCGACTTGGTACATGAAGTGACTTGACTCCTGACTCGACTTGGAATTATTATTGGTGACTTGAGACTTGACTCGGGACTTGGTGACAATGACTTTGGGACTCCACTTGGACTTAAAGTGCCGACCAAATCCAACATCTGCCTCATAGTTGATCGATAAATCAGCCTCAATGCGCCATTCGGTCCACAAGTTTTCACATTGCCTCAGTACCATATGTGACTTAACCTTGCGACAGGATCAATTTACCCCCACGCCCCCCCCCACACACACACGCATCCTCTTTCCATAAAAAAAAAAACAGAAATTACCTCGTCTTCGATCTTCTGGGACAGTCTCAGAATCAGATCTTATGTCCTGGATTGTTTTAAAGAGCTCCAAACCTACCGACAGCACACTACAAAGTCTAACACAGGAACTTGCTATGTTGTCAAATAAGGCAGAAATTCACTTGCAGTGGATTCCGTCTCACTGTGGCATCAAAGGCAATGAAAGCGCAGATGCTTTAGCCAAGGAAGGCAGTAACAAACCACAGACCTACCAGCCACTATCTTTTCTAGAAGTCAAATCTCGCATTAAGAGAAAATCAGAAACAGATTGGAAAACCAACACTGGTTATAACTACGGAAAAGATTTTCTGAAACACTTGAACAGAACAGACCAAGTCACAGTTTTTCGCTTACGCAATGGACACTGCAGACTCAATAAACACTCACATAAATTATGTATGAGCCAAACAGCTCTCTGCCAATGCCTTCGTGCTGAACAGACTCCAGAACATGTCCTGCAAGACTGTCCTCTCCTGGCGGAGCTGCGGAGCGACATATGGCAACACCCAGTAGAACTGACAACTAAGCTTTGGGGAAACCTAAGAGACCTTGAGCATGACCAGAGATCGCTGAAGAAGAAGAAGTTTTAAAGAGCCTATGCTCTCCCATTCCATGTCTGAACTCCCGGGCCCTAAAATGTGTGGAGGAGGGGAAGGGAGGGATAGACCAACCGCCAAATTACAAAAGTCGACTAGTTATGATATTTCCTTCGCCAGTGAATGCCAAGAAGCGAAGAAAAAAAAAACCACTTTAATTAATTAGATCCCCCGTGTGGGTTCCGGGGCCCTATTGTGGGGAAAACAAGAATAGACCCACTGCCTCCCCAAAAGCATGTCGTAAGAGTCGACTAACTGGGGAGCTTCCTTTGAAGTCGGAGTGCATCTGCCTGAGAGGCAAGGAACCAGCAGTCTGCATTCAATTGAATCAGATCTGTAAAACTGATGCACACGCAACACTCAGGTTCTGGAACAGGACTGCAGTCCAGAAGTGGACGAACAACCAGAACTTTACACCAGAGTTTACAGCTGGTGAACGCGAAGAAGAAGAAGAAGAATTAATTAGATGTTAGCTAAAATCAGATGTGTAGGGCCAAATTGTGCAAAAATCACGACATGTAGGTGCCAAAAGAGAGACAGACGTTATGTTTTACTATGTAATTACAACTGATGTCAATCCACATTTTTGATCCCCAACTGGCCCTGTCCTCCCATGTTGGTTATAGTGCCCCCGAGAACGGCACCGAAGTACTTCCCCTTTTTTACTCCGAGTTCATGCAATCGTGTTAATGTCAGAGATTAGTTATTTTATATCCATCTAGTGCAGCCAGGTAATCCTTCCTATCTACCTTCTAGTCCGTATAGTGTTGATGATATCTACTCTGTCCGTGTGCCTCTTTTCGCACATAGTGGTGCAATACTTGCCAGCTGGCCAGTTCGGTCCTGACCTTTTGCCCAGACATGCCCAGGTGTGTAGATCCAGAGATCAAAGGAGGATGGTTAAAGTGTGACTTTCAAATGCTGTCTACCTATTCAGAGCTCAGCCTGCCTACTGAGATGTCGCGAAGCATGTTCATGCGATCACTGATCACTGCGTTTGTAGCTGCTTGTTCTGCTACCCATATGAATGCTCTGGAAACGTGTATCATCTTCATAGTCATACTTTACGTATTTGTCTAGTACGGACTGACTGACTGACTTTCTACCCCACCAGGATATCACACAAGCGATAAATACCCAATGACACAATGTGCCACCAAGCGGGTGAGGATCACCGTAGAGAGGTCTCAGAAACCGCGTTCAGACTTTAGGCCAGAGTAGGGCTTCAAACAACGAAAAATTTCATCCTAAAAAGGACGAAACGTTTATAAAATCAGTTTGTCTGGTACACGCCACTATTTTAAACATCTGAATGATGTCTCTCACAGCATTTCCTTTGCAAATGCCACTACACATTGCGGAAAGTACCCTATTCTGCTGACCTTAATCTCATTCGGTATTTATGTGCGCACGTGCGTGTATGGGAGCACGCGGACGTGTATATGTGCGTACATCCCAGCTGTTGTAACACATCTTTGTTTATTTCATTTATCTTGCATAGTAGACTATCTATTGTTATATACAACTCCATCTCGTAACCTTCAAATGTGTCGGTCTGTTGTTTGATTACTGCAGCGGGACTTTTCTACCCTTTCCAAAATACCTGTCGCAATATGGGAAGCGTTTAAAAAAAAAAAATTCTAAAGCCTCCACCCAGGATGTCACCGGGGCCCCTAAATACAACCTACGGGTTGAACGGGATATCTGAGACGTACTTGGACAATTCTCAAACGAATGATCGAATGTTGTGTCATCGGGTGATTATTGCTCGTCGTGCGGTCCTGGTGGGGTTGAACTTCAGTCAGTCTTGTATGGTTTTCGCAGTCTCGGAATATAATTCATATGTTCGTGTTCCAGTATCACGTGGTCACATCCTCTTCTTAGTTTCTTAGTTTCTCCCTTTAGGATTGCAGTTACTATGACTAACATTTCAAGGGCGAGAGCGAAACAGGCACAACTCCATAAAACCTTGTTCAAACACAGAGTTTCATTGGGCACCAATTGGCGAATCAGCCCTGTGCAAATGAGGACTGGCAGCTGAGACAACAGATCACATCCTCTAATACTGTCTTAGATAAATTTCCAGGCAAAACTTCTGGCCAAAAGAGACACTGGTGGAACCAAAACTTTACGTGCCGCTAAATGAATTACAATATACAGTGAAGCTCATACTAAAGACAATATTGCAGATATAGATAATTTATTTCAAAAAAATGAAGGAAGAAGGAGAAGAAGAACTGGGCACCACAAGACGGTTAAGAAGTCCAATGTGGGAACGATCGTGTTGACCGTGGAAATCTAACCCTGGTAAGGCGGGGATTCTGAAACGACTGTACACACCTCTAATTCATAGTACCGCTACCTGTTTTCTATCAAAGGTTGACAATAACCTGCTCCACTATTTCGTTTATGCAGCAATGAACATTATGTGTGCAGGGACGTCGAGGCAAAGGGTACACCAGCTCCTTTACAGTTAGGCGCCCTATTCAGCAGTAGTGATTATCATATAAATAATACACCACTGACCTTTCATCATCATCATGTGGCAGGCACTTTACTAAACATCATTTCCATCACAGCCTGCATAAAATAAACTGAGAGCATCTCCATCAGTCATTTTCCTTCTTCTTCTTCTTTTTCTGCGTTCGACATCAGTCATGCTACACATTGAGTCCCGTCTGGGTCAAAAATAGGATTGTGCCATCAGTCATTTTCCTGTCCAATGTGTCTCTTATGTATGTGACCATCTTTGTACGGGTGCGCCCCTGCCCCTCTTATCACGTGACCCCTCCTCCGCTACTTCTATTTTCAGTTCTCTGTTGCTTTTAATGTATTCAAAGTATTTCAGTTTACAAGATAATAATAATATGCTGTGTACAAGCCAGTTTTCGATGTTCAGATCTGTTAGAATCTCAATATTTCGTTTCTTCGCGGTCCATGGAATTCTAAGGAATCTTCTGTAAAATTTCAGCTCAAAAGCGCCATTACTACTGGCCTCTGGGGTTAAATTCAGGACAATGTACATTGTATTGTTTACTGTATTTTTAGTTTATACTTTTATTATTAAATATGTGGTATAATTATTTATTGTATACTTGTAGCAAGAAGTATTATCCGGTGGACTCCTGTATTCCCCAGCAGCACTTGCGCCACCTACCGGCCGCTATCGTCTGCAACAGTCGTCGTCGCCTTCTTGACGCGGTCTCATCTACAAGGTATGGCTGGACCCCAGCTATACGAGGTAAATTATTTCTTTTTCACACTCCACACCACACATTTAACAGCGCGGACGCCACAGCGCGACTTAAGGACATTTTAAATTTTATTTTGTCAACTAGCTGGCTTCAAGAAATAAAAGCCATTTCGAAAAAAAACGACGATGTGTCTTGAAGTCCGCGTAGCTTTGACGAGTAAACAAGAGTCGGTTTGTCGGGTCCGGGGTTAACCAATCGTTTCCAGCTTTCTTGCATAATAATCACGGGGCCCATGAGGTTGGGACCGTGGGAGAAGAAGTAAGTTCATAACATCGGTCGACTCGCGGCCAGTTGGAACTTTACGGGCACTTTCACTTGGAAAGGACGAAAAAAAAATGTCCCAGGTACCGAAGGTAGTGAAGATCGATGTGCTTACTGTAAACGTTGTGATGTTTGGTTCTGGCAATGATTTAACAGCCGGGTGCGGAAACGATCCAACTGGGGGGAAATGAAAAAAAAAATAATGGACATTGTCAATTTAAAGTGTCTTCATCGAAGAATCATTGGGGCTAATTTAATAATAATATACCAGATTTGAAACATACATAAGATAATGAAATATAATTTGATTTTCGTCTATAAAACAAGTCTTTATCTTATAGATAATAATTGATATAGAAGAAGAAATGTAACAATCACTCATGTTGAATAGACACAATGCCAGTTACGGCACATGGTGTTAATTATTATTATTTAATTTGTTTAATGTTTAAAGATAAAACATAATTCATAAACTGTACATTTGATTCTTGTGCAGTTATAGTTATTGTTTGTTATTCATTTTCAAAGAGTTTTGAAAATATTTGTTTGTTAATCTTCCTGTAGCCACAGTTGTTGTGCCAGGTCAGTTGTCTTTTGTAAGAACTAGTGGGATTAGTCATTAGCAGTCTGACCAGAAAGTTAGTTTGCCCAGCTGGGTTAGAAATGTTTCTAGAACTGGAAAACCATTACTTATGTGTCAGATATCAGTAGAGGCAGATTTTTTGGGATACTTTGTACTGACACATGGCCTTTGTTTTTTTTTTTCACATTCATAACTTGACTAACCCAGTCTTGTTATGGTGGGTCTGGAGATAGATTGTTGTCTCATTCTCATTTTTAGTCTAGTGATGTTAAGTGCTAAAAAAATAAATAATTCTATATGCTTTGTTTTCAAATGTTTGACTTGACTAATGGTACTAACCCTGTCTCACCTGTGGTTAGTCTAGTGGTATGATTTATAATTCTAGTGATTTTGAAAGCTAAAAATGCTAGTTTTCAAAATTCTTGACTTGGCCAAACTAATCTCAGTTCATTTGGTCTGCAGGTAGATTCTTCTTACTCTTTGCGCTTACCGGTTAACTCTAGCGGAAAGTTCCATTTGCTCATCTACTTCTGGACTTTGGACTTTTCCCAGAACCTGAGTGTTGAGTGCACACCTGTTTTACATATCTGGCTTATTTGTCTGCAGACTGTTGGTTCATTGCCTCTCTTTTAGCGCGTATACAAATTATTTTTGTTTTGTCTTTTATTCCCCAATAGAGCATAATATTTCAACAGCTCACTCCAAGCTGTCTTATCCTTTGCTATTTGTGTGTTATTTTTGGTCCACCTTTATTTCATTTCTTTTGCTGGTTTTTATGGGAAGACCGCCTTCGCCAGCTGTAAACTCTGGCAGAAAGTTTTAGTTCTTCGTCCACTTCTGGACTATATATAGTCAAGTTCTGAACCTGAGTGTTGCATACATCTGTTTTACAGTTCTGACTTGTTTGTATGCAGACTATTGGTTCCTTGCCTCTTAGGCAGATGCACTCTGACTTCGAAGAAAGCTTCTAGTTAGTCGACTCTTAACGACATGCTCTCCGGGTAGGCAGCAGATCTGTTCTTGTTTTCCCTGGAACCCACATGGGGAACATTCTGTTTAAATTGGATTCTTCTTCTTGTTCACCTGCTGTAAATTCTGGCAGAATGTTCTGTATGTTTGTTCACCTCTAGAACGTGGCCTTGTTTCAAAACTCTTGCATACAATTCCATGTTACAGATCTGTAGCTTCTGGGCCTCATTTTGAGAAAGCATGTCGTAAAAGGTTACTAATTAGGGGCATTTCCTTCAAAGTCGGAGTGCATCTGCCTTGAGACTTGACCAATCAGTAGTCTACATGCACATAATCATATCTGGAACAAGACTAGTGGAAGTCCACAGCTGGATTAAGAACTAGAATTTTGCACAGGAGTTTACAGAAGGCGACTGATGAGAAGAAGATCACACCTGAGTTAGTTTTGCACACATTGGACAGCCTATCAACATGTTGCATTACTTTTGACAGCAATTGTTAAAGGATACAATGATCGTAACTATTTACATTAAAGTTATAGCAAATATGACAGGGAATGGCATGCATAACATGGTTTTAGTAATTGGAAATAATTTTGTGAACCGTGCCTCTTGAGATGAATCTTGTCTTTAAACTGTTGATATGCTCATCATTATCATAATGTACCCTACTAGTAGTTAAAAAAAGTCAATGACATGTCCTTAACTACAACTCATTACATGACTTCAGGGTTAGCTCTGCTAAACCATCTAGCACCTTTTGTGTGTCATCCCTAGTTTTTAACAACTTCAATCTTTCCAACTTTCACATAATTATACAGACGTGGTCTCCATTGTCCTCTTAACTTTCTACTTGTCATTATATCTAGGCTGTCTTTATTTTCATAACTTGACTAAAATGATTGTCTTGATAATGTATGAAAAACATTCAGCATTTAAGAATGAATCTCTTTTGGTTCTTTTGTTGAAGATTCAGGTAAAATATTCAGTAGTATGAACAGGTTAGTGGTCTCATGTTTTTCAGACATGTTATCAGATGGAATTGACTTGAAAACTTGGTAACAACTTGTAGGATCTATGGAGAGAGGACAGGCAGTTAAATAGTCCTAGATGGCGTAGCCATATAGATAGGGCAAGACAACTATACTGATTTGATCCATGATTCTGGTAACTGTGAAATGTGAACCATGACAACCAGTATATGTCAGTGCATGATGATGTCCAATGGCAGTTATTGCTTTGGTATTTGACATGTTAGGCTTTATCATATTCTAGACAATGACATAAGATGGGGGAGGCTAGTTATTTTTTTTTTAACCACATTTACATCCCTGAAAATTGTCTTGTGCCCCATTGTATGAGGTTGGGTTGATCCCAGAGCTCTGCTGGTTAGAAACAATAATACTGTCTCCAGTGGGGTTCAACTTGGACAGCTTTCTTAGTCAGTCTGTATAATTTTTGATGGCTTTGTTTATGCATTTAAAGTGTGTGCGTGCTGTTAGCTATGCTGAGACTACAGTCTGTGACAGCAATGGGCATTGCGGTTTTTGCTGACACGGGAACAGAGCAGCCTTGGGTGACCCTTAAAGCTCGAACTGCAATGAACTAATTGTCTTGGTAATGGGAACAGAAGTGACATAGTAATTAGTATGCTGAGGTCTTGTTATAGAACTTGCCTTTACATCTGTTTAACAGATATAGCTTACTTGTATGCAGACTTTTGGTTCCTCGCCTCTTAGGCATTTGCACCCCAATTTTTAAGGAAATACCCAATATTAGTCGCCTCTTATGACATGCTTTGGGAGGGGGGGGGAGGTGTCAGTGGATATATCTCCCCCCCCCCTCTCTCCACAGTGGGACCATGGAACCCACACATCAAGCCTCCAGACATACCATTAGGTCCTTTTCATTTTGTTTTTGCTGTTTTGGCTTCACGAACACAAATAAGATTTTCAGTTATTGCTATTTGAATTATATCATCGACATGATAGATATCCCCATCTTTTTTTTTTTATTTTTTTTAAAAATATATTCAGGTTGAGCAGCTCCTGGATAAAAAAGTTTTGCCCAACAATCGCATTGTGTATCTGGTGCGATGGAGGGGCTTTTCTCCAGAACATGATTCTTGGGAGCCTTATAGCAATCTTCAGTCATGCAGAAAGCTCATCCGAATCCTCAATCAGTCTTTAAGGTTGAACAGTCCTAAAAGCTCACCAAAGCAGGACCCTAAAATGCAGACAGATAAAAGTGCCAATACAGATGATAATCCCGCCCCACGGAAAAGGGGCAGAAAGAAAAAGGTATATCTTATGAGAGAAAGAGGTTTGGCACTCATAAACACAAAGAAAGCTGCTTCATCAGAGGAAAACAGTACTGTATACAAAGAGTTACTGATGGAAGCAAAAGCTTTGAAACCAAAGCTTCATGAAGATAGATCTCCTAACATTTCAGAGGGCTCTGAAAAGCCATCTGAAGCTAACTGTGCCACTCAGACTATAGATATTTACCCGCCAGGTAAAAAAGGAATCAAGAAACGAAAAATTAAAACATCTGACTCTGATAAACATGGTAGTAAAATTAAAAAGCGCAAGCAGTCCAGGAACGAAAATATTCCGCTGCAGAATGGTGAAGAGTCTGACAGTGCCAGGTATGATACTGGCAACACAACGTATGCTGACGTGACTTTTGAAAGTGAAGATGATGACAGTGATATTCTGTACTCGTTGAATTTTGACTGTGATATTGCAAGCCTTGTTGATGTACAGAACACACATGATGGTAAATCTAGGAAGGCTGCAAAAGTTAAAAGTTTCACCAAACAGTCAAAATCTGTGATAACAAAAAAAGACTCAAGTGTACATTCTTTGAAAAGTGCCAAGAAGGATGTTGGGAAGAAGAAAGCAAAGATATTGCTCATGGATTCAAAGAAGAAGCCGAAGGATTTGTTGAACAGATCAGGTAATTTTTGTTTGTATTTTTAAGTCTATTGCTTTCCCCACAGTACTGATAGAATGTGTTTTATTCAATAAATACATACACAGTTTTTGGGGCCAGACTTTTATCAAAAATGACCTTGGCTCCCAGGTCGACCCAGCCTTGAGTGGGTACCAGGTGCAGTCACGGGAAGTAAATGCAGCCGGCGAGATGCTGACCACATCACCCATCTTGTGCCGATTGGTCTATAAAGGCATGGAAAAGGGTCCTTTACTTTATTTTTTACTTACATATATAGTTTTAGTCAGAGAATTATCTTTGCCCTTCACACCCCGCCCCCACTTTTCCTAAGTGGAGCATAGGCCCTCAACCAACTCATGCCAAGTTGTTCTATCCTTTTCTGTCACTCACCTTATGTCCTCCTTTTTTTTTAAATTTCACTATCTAGCTCTCTTCTCCAGGTTTTATGGCCTGCCTTTATTTCTGTACCCTTTTGAGTTCCACTATAAAGATGTTTTGTTTTCTGGTTTTCTTTGTGTGTGACCTAACCCAGTGCTAGTGTCTTTCTTCTCAGCTCCTGATTCACGAGAATTTTAGTTCGCTTACAAAATTGCCATGTGATAAATTAGTAATGGGAGGCAGTGTTATCTTGACACTGGTCAATTAAAGCCAGTTGCCCCTCTGATGTCTCCACTGATGTGTCTCCACTTTGTACTGGTGCTAGAGGGCTTGTGTGTTCCTTTGACTGCAGGAGAAATGTCAGCATCAGCGCACCTCCTAGACAAGCCAATATAGAGGATTGAGGCACAGAAAAACAATCCTGTTGCTGTGTAGATAGACTGGGAACAATCAGTAGATAGGGAAAATAAATCGGGGAAACTAAATGATTGTCAAAATTGGATATATTGAACCATAGGCCTGACTATACAAGGACTGACCAGCCTTTCTACTGCTGTCTGCTAGTTGACTGGCAAGCTGATTGAAACCAATCTGATCCAGCGACAACAGCTGCAAAGTTGATTTCTGTAAAAAAATCAGTTTGGCCTATAGTACAAGTACCTGTCCTGAAACCATAATAATCCCTTTATTTAAACAGTTGCCTACATGCATGTATACACACACCGTCCCCCACCATATCTGTCTGTATGTCTCTGTCTCTCTCACTCTCTCTCACTCACTCTCTCTCTCTCTCTCTCTCTCTCTCTCTCTCTAACAACCATGGTAACATGTAGTCAGTTCACAACAGTGTAACCATTATTTCAGTTGAACCCAAAACCATTTGGTCTCTGAAGACTTAATCTAAGACGCATATGGCCTTCTTTTGTTTTTGTGGTTCACAGCTTGGCTGCAGTGTCTGTACCTTGTGTCCTAATAGATTAGATTTCAGCAAACCTGTAATTAGTTGCCTTGTATGTTTAATCTGCTGTTAGGAGACAGTTGGTCTGGTCATCCATGTCATGTTCCGTGGGTTCTGGGGTCCCATTTTGGGGGGGGAAAAGAATAGATCTACTGTGATGTCCCCCAGTCATGTAGTATAGGTAGACTAATCAGGGGTATTTCCTTGGAAGTCGGTGTGCACCTGCCTGAGAGACAAGGAACCAACAATGTGCTTATGGATAAGCCAGATCTGTAAACTTGATGTGCACAAAAAACAGGCAGATGAATGAGAACTTTCTGCATGAGGTACAGCTTGGGAACTCTAAAAAGAAGAAGATAATACATTTTTCCAAAGCAGTTCAGTCTACTAGCACAAACTAAAAGTTTAACTAACCTCAGACACATACATAATTTATTCTAGCATGGACACATACATAAATTAACCTACCATGGACACATGCATAGATTATCCTCCCATGGACACATACATAAATTATTCTAGCATGGACACATACATACATTATTCTAGCATGGACACATACATACATTATTCTAGCATGGACACATAAATAAATTATTCTAGCATGGACACATACATAAATTATTCTAGCATGGACACATACATAAATTAACCTACCATGGACACATGCATAGATTATCCTCCCATGGACACATACATAAATTATTCTAGCATGAACACATACATAAATCATTATCCCATGGAGACATACATAAATTATCCTAGTATGGACGCATACTTAAATTTTCCCAGCATGGACACATACAAAAATTATTCTAGCATGGACACATACCTAAATTATCCTAGCATGAACACATACCTAAATTATCCTAACATGGATACATACCTAAATTATCCTAACATGGATACATACCTAAATTATCCTAGCATGGATACATACCTAAATTATTCTAGCACGGACGCATACATAAATTATTCTAGCATGGACGCATACATAAATTATTCTAGCATGGACGCATACATAAATTATACTAGCATGGACGTATACATAAATCTTCTTCGTTCACCGGCTGTGAATTCCGGCAGAAGGTCCCGGTTAATCGTCCGCTTGAACTTTTGGCTTTTACCTGGACCTGAGTTTTGCGTGTACAACCGTTTTACTGGCTTTTGCCATTCCCTGTCTCACGGGCAGATGTACTCCAATTTCGAGGAAAGTATACATAAATGATCCTAGAATGGACACATACATAAATTACATTTGTGTGGCACACATTTACATTGCAGCTGACACACTGATATATCATGACAGTCTTGAAAGCTCTGCTTTAGGGACTTTTAAAAAAATAAATAGAAGCAATGTGATCTGTAGTGATAACTTTGTCTGGGTTACAGGTTTGCTTCGTTCTGTGTCACCACCACCATTGTTCACAACAGTCAAACACTCAGGGGACAGTCCTGGCTCTCAGGATCCTTCTAAGCCTTCAGGAAATTGTCACCAGGAACCAGTCTCTCCGGAGGCTTCAGGTGAGGCAGCTTTCATATTCATTGGTATGTGTGTCAGTTTATCATCATCATCATGTAGCTGGTCCTTTGCAGAATGTCGCTCTCATCATGGACTGTCTGAAAGAAACTCGGTCTATCCTGTGCTCTTCTTTGTGTTGGTTGGCCCCTGCCCCTCCTTGTTGGTACCATGCCTTCCACTGTTATTTTCCCCAGTCTGTCATGGCACTTGATATGACCAAAATAAAATGCTGTTTATTAGCCAATCTTCCTTAATGTTCAAATTTTTTCAAATGTCAGCATTTCTTCTCTTCTGTCATTTTCAGGACTTTTTAAAACTCCTGAAATGTATTTAGCAAGAGTTAAATATTGGTAACAAAGCTTTCTGACATATGACTTAGTGTGTTGTATGGGCCATGGTGTGAGTTTCCATAGCCTGATTCTGAGGGGAAACATACAGAATAGACCCTGACAAGCATGTTGAACAGTGCAACTAATTAACCCTTTAGCACGCTAAGTTTTTCAGATGTCTAGCCAAAAACACGTAGCATTTTTTCAGTGAATTTGGTTATAGTTTTATTTTTTTTGACATTTCTGTTATTCTGACCCCATGAAATTATATATTTATTCGAAGGATATAAATTGAAGTTCATGATTTTCACAATATCATTAAAATTAATTGATGTATATGCAAATTATCTCATTTGCATATCTAAAAATAGAAAATTTAAATGTGAATTTTCAACTTCAATGCATGAAACATGTAACTAAAAACAAAAATATATTTTATTTGAAATCTTTTTATTGATCTTCGGCCTTTTTACAAATGTTGTAAGCAATTCAAAACTCAAAAACAAGTGTGTGTACACACACACACACACACACACACACACACACACATACACACATATATATATATATATATATATATATATATATATATATATATATATATATATATATATATATATATATATATATATATATATATATATATATATATATATATATATATATATATATATATATATATATATATATATATATATATATATGAAACATCAATAATATCTTTAGGTGACATGTGTTTTTGACCATCAGTCAGCACAAGAAATGGATGTGCCGGAGTGTCAACATCTTCGGGTGGATATACCTTGAGCCATGGTTGGGTTGTGGTCTGAACACAACAGCGTCCCCATCTGATTCCCCACTATTACTACTAACACTAGATTGTGCATCAGTATCAATAGAATTAGTGTCATCACTTGATTCAAATGTTTTATCAACATCAAGTTTAGGGGCAGAAACATACAAGTCAGACATACTTTTAGCGGTTCAGGTCACTACCTAAAAAATTTAACAACAATTTTCACTTCGACTCCAAACACTAGAAAGTCGCCATGTGTAAAGCTAATACAGCAGTGAATATAAAAGAATCACTTCCAGTGTTTCAAAATAGGAGATTTCTTAGCATGTCGAGGCGAAACATGATCGACTCTTCTGTGTTTTTGGCCAGACATCCGACGGCCGATAATCGGCCCATCCGTGCTAAGAGGGTTAAGGGGATTTCCGAGTCAGAATGCTTCTGCCTGAGAGGTGAGGAACCAGCAATCTGCAAATACAAATAAGCCAGATCTGTAAAACAGATGTGCACATAAAATTAAAGTTCTAGAACAAGACCAGCATACATAAATGGATGAACAACCATAACTTCCACTGGAGTTTAAGTAAATATCACAAGGAAAACATGTTGAGGAAAATACTGTTCTGGTTTGTTTTATGAGTAGAAACCTTAGCTGTTATGACATCTGCAATAGTGTTTCAGGATCTAAACAGAGAAAAAACAGAGGGGGAGGCCTTAGAAACATTATGTATGATAAACAACTGACATGTATTGTTTGGTACTCATATAAAGAAGAAAGATAGGATACATTAGACAGCTTACAAATTAAAATCTGTAGTTGCCATTCCAGGAATTGAACTTGTCACCGCCAAATGGCGACAGTGCTTCGCTGCTGAAACAAGTGCACTGAGACACATGACCAACTAGGCAGCTCCAGTGTCTTCATTAACCATGTTGATCGTACAACTTGAGTCCGCTGACTGCTATGGCGTACGGACAGAATTCATCTCAAATCCACAGTTCAATCAGTGCATATCTGTCTGTTTATTATGTACAATTCCTGACATTTAGATTTAAAAAGAGCTAAATGTTGATGACTAAGCTTTCTAACATCTGATATAATGTTGATGAAAATGTTATTCTGCCTTGCTTTATGAACAGAAACCTATTTAGCTGATGTGCCATCATCATATCCTGTGCCAGCGGACGAACCTCAGGGCAGCGAACAGTCACTTAGCTCAAGATCATTATCCTACAATGCACTCCTGGACAACCTCCCTGACCAGCTACACCCTGCGCACAAAGCCAACAAGAAAAGTAAGAGCAACAGCAGCGTGGTCAGCAGCTCTGGGGACGGCAGCATCAGCCCAGTGGGCGCATTGGTCACCTCGTCTGGATGTGGAGGGTCTGTGGAGAGGCGGACCAGCATCCGGTCCACAGAATGTGCATTCCGCTACAAGCAGATTGTTGTCAAGAAATGTGTCCACTACACACAGATCTGGCTGAACACGCAGACTGTGATGAAGAATGCTTTGAATCCTCAGGTGAGCTTTGATGATTGGTAGCTTTGGTGGATGATCTGTGTATGAAACTTTTGGGCACACATAGAGGGTTGTCGTAATGCAATGAACCCCTTTCAATGAAAAAAATTACTCTTATTCTTTTCTGTGCTTCTGGATTGCGTTGCAGTGTCAGGGCAGGAAGAGATCTCTGGAACAGGCCTTTCTGTTTGCTCCATACATAGTAATTTGCAGTGGATCCAATATTTTTATGGTCCATTTTTGTATGGTTCGACCTCAGGCCCTCTTACTACTGTATCTGTACACCATTGCTGTCTGTGGTGCTCTGTCTGTTGCAGAGCTCTGTTGTTACATGGCCAAACCATGTGATCTGTTGTCTACTGATGAGGTTCAGTACTGGTTCTGTGCCAACTTTCCTCCTGATTTCATTTCTAAGTCAGTCTTTCCTTGTTACACCCAGCATAATATGTAAACATTTAATTTCTTTTGAGACTGTTTTTGACTCTGATAGCATGGCGTTGGCAAGAATATTGTTTTGAACAGTGCTCTTTTAGTATTCATATTCTCGTTCTTGTATTTCAGTATAGGTGCCGTAGAAATGACTCATTCCTTACCAAGTTCCACTAGGGTTCCTGGGCTTTTATTGGGTGAGGGTGTGGGGATAGACCCATTGCCTCATAACAGGCATGTTCTAAACGGCAACTGATTGGAAGTTTGCTGAAATTGGATATGTTAGGCCGAAAGGCACAGATATCACAGTTTAGCTGCACACGACACGCCAACTGCCCACTTAAGGGCAAATACGAAAGTATAAAAGTATTGTTAAAAAGAGCTATTTTTAACAGGTGACTTGAGTTTTGAATAGTTAAAAAAATGGGCAAAACAATCAGCTAACTCTTTTGTCCTGTATGATCCCCACCATATCTGCACACTGTTTAGCTACAACCAGAACAAAAGATAATTTACCTGTTATGACCACTGCCCAGAGACATCATGTCATCAAAAACCCATAAATGCCAGAAAAAACAACAACTCCCTCTGGGCAACAGGGTGCAGAAGACTGCTGGAAATTAGAAAATCTGTTTTGAAAAAAAAAAAAGACACCAGTCTCAAAACTGTCACTAGGAGACAATAATTTACTTACTAAATAATGAAAAGAAAAACTGAATCATGGAAAACTGGAAAGAGTTATAGGTAGAAAAATAAAAGAAAGCAATGAGAAGATTCTAGACATCCATTTGCTGTGAGAGGTAAAAGTGTCAGCACAGGAATTGATACATTTTGTGGGGTTGGCAGTGTGTGGAGAAGCATGACTGTATTGGCATTATGAGACTCATGATGGCAGTGATGATAATTACTTTTGGGACGCTGATGCATGTTAAAATATCTAGCCAGGTTTCTTTGGTACATTGAGATCAAACTCCTCAGCATGGTGCCCACGAGTACCTTTTGTGGTGTTTCTTCTTGTTTTAGGCTAGAACCAGGCATAAGTTGCAACTTTCTGACTGTATTTTTGTGTTACATTTTTTTTAAAGAACATCTTCATCCATTTTTCATCAAGTTGGTTTCTTGCCGTTAATTTGATAGTCAACATCTGGAATGTTATTCATAATATAGTTTAATTGTCCGTATCTCACAACTATATAATGCAACTGACCATATGCATATGCAGAAGTATTATTTTATGTAGTTCAGGTTGTTTATTCTTTACAATAAAGTTTTCTAGGGTGTAAAAGTAGAGGATCTTTTTATGCTATTAGGGCTTTGGGTATATGGTGCTATTGAAAAAACAGTCAGTATTCCCTGGGTGTTGGGTCAACCTCAGTGATATTGACAACCTTTACTTCCAAAGTAATTTTTTGGGACCCAAGCCACAGTGCTATTGTAGCTTCCTATTCTTTCCAGTATGGCCGAGTTTTATTTTAAATCTGAAATACAGTGGCTATAATGAGAGGAAGCAAAACCTTAAAAATCGACACACTAGAATCAGGTAGTGATGTATTTTCCAGTTCATTATACCGGTCACCTCACGGAGAACTTATTACACAATGAACTATTTCAAGATTTGGATCTTCTTTTTGTTCTTGTTCTCATACTTCTCCTCCTCTTCCACTGATCTCATCAAAGTGTTGGGGGACATGTTAGTATTTTCTGTCCCATTTCTAATCTTTGTATAAGTTGATCTTCATTTCTTTAAGGCTGTTCTTGACAGTCATTCCCTATTTTGTGTGGTCTTTCCCTTGCTTGCTCATTACGTTTCATTAGAGTGACTGTCTGTGGTAACTGGTACCAGAGCATTCCAATCAGATGACCAAACCCACCCATTAGGGTTCAGAGGGCAAATCCTCATCTCAGGTTTATAAAGTTGTCATATGAAAAGGCTGTCTCTGTGTTTCAGCAGTCCTATGTGTTATTAAGCAAAATTATTGTATCTTTCTTCCCTAGGTAATACAAGAAGTGGTCTCAGCTCTCAACTCAGCCAAATATGACGACAGCCATTTGGTTCTGTTTTCTAGTCTGGGAAATGTTTTCTGCTCAGGCACTGATTTGCATTTTTTAGTGTCAGGTGATCGGAAAATGTCTGCCAGACAAATGGCAGATGCAATAAGGTATATTTTATTGTAGCTTTCATATTATATTTGCTTTGGATGTAGGCAGAAGAGCTTTTTGTTGACTATAGAAAATCATATGCTTTAAGTATGGGTTGCTTGCTATAGTTTAAGATTGGTTGTTTGGTTTCTTCTAGAATTTATTGCTGCTGCTCCTCTTGGTGGCGAGCTGTTGTATGAGGTGAAGTAGGAGCAGATAGCTATTGAAGCCGAGCAAAGATCCGTATCAGATGAGACTAATTCAGCAGGGGAATGCTTGCTATCCAGAAATGGAGTGGAGCAGGTGTTGGGTGTCCCTAGTGCAGTTATGTCAATTCCCGATTTGTTCATTTACTGCTTTAGAAGAGTTTTCAGTCTGCATTGCTGTTCATGTAGTCTGTGAAAGAGAAAATGAAAAAAATTGTTTTTAAATGTTATGAACTAAACATTCAAAGGGAATACACAAAAATTCTTGAATAGCTTCACCATGTAGTATTATGGACCTGAATGCAAGTCTCATCTGAGTCACTGAAGATTGTGTGAGGCAGCAGTCTCTGATGCCCTAGGCTTACTTCTTTGGTGCAGGATGATGATGAATGAAACAAGTGATCTTTGCAACTATCCTGCCTCTGTTTAAACTCAGTTACGGTAATCATGTATTTATGTAAGTTAGGCCCACATCCTTGACACTGCATCCAGGCCCAACATTTTTTAGGGCTCTTTGTTTTTATTAGGCAATTATAAATTGAAGTTTGCCATTGCCTCTAAACCAGTGGTCTCCAAAATGATAGTGTGGGAACCCCCCCCCCCCCCCCCCCCCCCCCCCCCGGCATGAGGAAGTTTCTAAATATTTTAGCACATGCATTATTAATCATAATATCAAGACTGTTGTCACTATCTGGCTGTTTTCATAAATGTCAGAGCAGTGTGAACAGTTCTAGTTTTTCCCTTATCATTTGGTGTAGAAAAATCACATAAAAATTGTATCGCATCTAATTAAAACAAATCAGAAACTAATGCAAAACTTCGCAAATAAAAAGACTTATGTTTAGCTAATTCTAGTTTTTCAAAACATGTTCATACAAATTCGTTTTCCCAGCAAACAAAATTAGTGTCTCTATGATGCGCCACTATATATATATATATATATATATATATATATATATATGTGTGTGTGTGTGTGTGTGTGTGTATAAAAATGGCTAAAAATCTGAAAGGGGTGGGTTCCAAAAGTCAGTAAAGAGTTAAAAACTAGACTGTGGAGGAGGGACTTATAAAACACCTTGTACAATAAACCATGCTGCTGTAGTAATTTGTGCACTCCCATATGAACCATTCTTGGGTCTGGTATCTGGGAGGACTAAGGTGGACCCAGGTTCATGAAGTTGATCCAAGGATCTTGGACAGTAAAGATGGCCAGCATATTGCTGACATTGTTACTCCTTATGTGCCGTTTCTGGAGTAGCAAATGTGTCTTAACATCCATTCAGACTTGTAGACGTCTGCTGTATGTGGCCACTCTCTTCACAGAACAATTTTTACTAAAAGATTGTGTCAGCACATGAGGCAGAAGGCTGTGGATAGACATAATGACATACATCACACAGCATGAATAAGCGAACAAACTTTACTTCCAAAGGGTTGCAAATTGGGCACGCATTCAGCCCTTTCAAGCAGCAGTTGTATTTTACATATCAAGCATATTATGTTCATATATAAAAATGTATAGTATGGATGTAAAGTAAAGATAAAAATGCGTGGATGGCAATATGCAGAAATACACAGACACATGAGGCAGATGAGCAGACATAAGCACATTCACAAACACAAGTGACAGACCACTGCCTGCGCAGAAGAAGGTAGCTTAGTACAACCACACACTTTAATCAATTATCCTGTACATTAGAACTATTTTTTAGGGGGCTTTAAATGAAAACCTGCCAGTGTTGTTGTTCAGGTGGTCAAGAGTATTAAGCACGTGACATCACAGTGCAGACGAACATGGTGACATGGTAATGACATTTTAAAGATGGTCACCCCATTTTTGACATGCGCCAAAGAGTTATCCGTTTTCATTTAAAGCTCCCTCTTGTAATATGTGATGAACACAGTTCATTACACTGAGATAAAAGTGTATGCTTCTCATCCCAACAGAGAACTGACTAAGACAGTGATCACATTCCCAAAGCCTATCATTGCCGCAGTGTCAGGTGCTGCTGTGGGTCTGGGTGTGTCCCTGCTGGCTCTGTGTGATGTAGTCTACGCCAGCGATAAAGCTTCCTTCCATTTGCCTTACTCACAGCTGTCACAAACACCTGAAGGATGTTCGTCATTCACTCTTCCCTTGATCCTAGGTTTACCATCAGTATGTTGTATTTACTTTCATTATTAGTTAGCTAGATAGTTAGTCTCTCCTCTTGAGCCTAGGGCAGCACATATGTCAGAGCTCTCCATATCTGGAGGTTCATTGCCACGTTTTACCAATAACAAATTTTGAAGATGTCCTTGGAATTTAACTAGCTTGAACTATCCATAACATTTAGAGCTAGAAATCTGTTCTGAAACAGGATTTTTTATGATGGCGGTTTGTCGGGTCATCGATCAACAGTCTGAAGCCAATCTAGAGGGAAACACGACCCGCCATCTTGGCCGAAAGTGAAAACTTTCATTATTATGTTCATTTGTTATTCATTCTTCAGCGTCGATGACCAAAACCAATCCAGGTGAGAAGCAGAACTAGTCTGTCATGAAGGAGAAGATGAATTTTGCTTTTAGAAAAGCTTTATTAGCATACCAACACAAAAGGGCAATAAAACGTAAAGTAACATATGTCACATAATCTCCATAATAAGCTGGAGCAGTTGACACATCTGCGTACACATGTTGCAGGATATAGATACTGGACAGGAACTGACCCAGAGAGATGGGGTGGGTCGTGAACAGGTGGTTATGGCAGTGGATTTAACACAAGGTTTTTTTGTAAATAAAACTATTGAACATTAAGTTCCTTAGGGTTGAGTTCATTCTTCAGTTTATGTGTTCACGAATTGAGTCATTTTAAAAAAAATATTTATCCATCTAATTATAGACAGACCCATCTCTGCCCTGGAACTGAAGACTAACTAGAGTCTTTATTTTATTCAAACATAATTAAATCCACACACGTTTATCTTGGTTGAAAGGAATAGACGCATCGCAAGAGTTGAAATTGTATAGCAGTAGACTGCATTCTTATAACACTCTTGCTTTTTTTTTTAAAATAGTTTTTTCTGTCTCTGTAATCATGGCTTTCAATGTCAGGTTAGGAAGAGCTTTCTGGATACAAGTTTCGTGTGGACTGTTTTGAGATGGTGTTCATTCATTGCTTTCTCTTATTAACAGCGCTTTTGGTCTCCACTATCTTTCATCCCCTCTAACTTTCCTTTTTTACAAGTTATTCCAGTTTTCCATTGTTTATAATGTGAACGAAGAATTTGGATTTTGTTTTTTTCCGATGTGGAAAATCAGATCTCTGTGAGTTTTGTCTTTCAAGATTGGATTGTTATACTATTATTTTATAATTACATCCACTTCTTTTGTGTGTGTGTGTGCCTTAACTCAGGCTAATGAATTACATGTCAAGAGATTGAACTTCATAGAACTTCTATCAAGTTGAGCCATTTGTTACATAATTTTATCCATAAGTAATAAGATGCTAAATACACAGGTGAAGAACAAAACAGTAGAACTAAAGATACATAATGAATAAACAAGATACATTTTCTTTCTAGTGAAATGGCTCAGACATGAAAAGTGTATTTATTTCGGCCTTCTGCCGTGTTACAAACACACCCCAGTGGGAGGTTTTTTCATCGGACTAGAATGCTGAAAAATCATAATACATCTTTACCACATAGATCTGGGATCTGACTGTGTCTGCAACAAGCAGATGTGGAGCACGAAAGCAAATTCTAGAGCACACCTTACAAGAAGACTGCCCAGATTTTGCCAGTCAGAGATAGAGGGGGGGGGGGGGGGGATTTAAGACAAACTATGGCGCACTGGTGAAGATTTTACATGCAATGTCCTGTCTGTGTCCCATGTTGGAATAGAGCCATAGCAAAGTGTTGATCACCAAAGAAGAACTGATTTACCGAGGAATATATACTGTAAGCTGAAAGTCATTGTTCCTTTTTTGTTCAGGCCAATGAGCTGCTGTTTGGTGGGAGAAAGATCACAGCCATGGAGGCATACCAGCTTGGATTAGTCTCACAAGTCTTCTGGCCCACTTTAATAATGCAAGAAGTCATTCCTAGGGCTCAGAACATGGCGACCTGCTCAGCAAAGGTACCAGTAATTGTCCTCATTTGTTTTGCCTGTTTGTATTGTTTCCATTGAGTCATCAGAATTTGCTTAGAAAGGGGGAGAATGTGAACAAGAAGACAGTGCAGTAAAGTACTTTGGCTAAGAATGGAGGAGAATGTGAACAAGAAGGCAGTGCAGTAACATACTTTGGCCAAGAAAGGAGGAGAATGTGAACAAGAAGACAGTGCAGTATAATACTTTGGCTAAGAAAGGGGAGAATGTGAACAAGAAGGCAGTGCAGTAACATACTTTGGCTAAGAAAGGAGGAGAATGTGAACAAGAAGACAGTGCAGTAACATACTTTGGCTAAGAATGGAGGAGAATGTGAACAAGAAGGCAGTGCATGAACATACTTTGGCTAAGAAAGGAGGAGAATGTGAACAAGAAGGCAGTGCAGTAACATACTTTGGCTAAGAAAGGAGGAGAATGTGAACAAGAAGGCAGTGCAGTAAAATACTTTGGCTAAGAAAGGGGAGAATGTGAACAGGAAGACAGTGCAGTAAAATACTTTGGCTAAGAAAGGGGAGAATGTGAACAAGAAGACAGTGCAGTAAAATACTTTGGCTATAAAAAAGAGGAGAATGTGAACAAGAAGACAGTGCAGTAAAATACTTTGGCTAAGAAAGGGGAGAATGTGAACAAGAAGACAGTGCAGTAAAATACTTTGGCTAAGAAAGAGGAGAGTGTGAACAAGAAGACAGTGCAGTAAAATACTTTGGCTAAGAAAGGGGAGAATGTGAACAGGAAGACAGTGCAGTAAAATACTGTGGCTAAGAAAGGAGGAGAATGTGAACAAGAAGGCAGTGCAGTAAAATACTGTGGCTAAGAAAGGGGAGAATGTGAACAGGAAGACAGTGCAGTAAAATACTGTGGCTAAGAAAGGGGAGAATGTGAACAAGAAGACAGTGCAGTAAAATACTGTGGCTAAGAAAGGGGAGAATGTGAACAAGAAGACAGTGCAGTAAAATACTGTGGCTAAGAAAGGGGAGAATGTGAACAAGAAGACAGTGCAGTAACATACTTTGGCTAAGAAAGGGGAGAATGTGAACAAGAAGACAGTGCAGTAAAATACTGTGGCTAAGAAAGGGGAGAATGTGAACAAGAAGACAGTGCAGTAAAATACTTTGGCTAAGAAAGGGGAGAATGTGAACAAGAAGACAGTGCAGTAACATACTTTGGCTAAGAAAGAGGAGAATGTGAACAGGACCCTTTTCCACGCCTTTAGGCATATAAGCTAGACCTATATTTTTTATAGAACTATCGATTCAAGATAGGTGATGTGGTCGGCATTACACTGACTGCCTTTACTTCCCGGGACTACACCCAGTACCCACTCAAGGCTGGGTCAAACTGGGAGCCAAGGTCATTTTTATAAAAAGTCCGGCTCAGAGACCAGTGCTTGAAGACAACTTATCACAAACATCAGAAAGACAGTAATCCTTTTTAGGTGGTCATGTTATAAGAAGAAGGAAACTGGAACATGTTGTGACCACTGGAAAGATCTGTGGAAAAAGAGACAGGAAAACAACATGAGGTGATTCCTGACAGCCTTTTGTCTGGCAAGGTCAGGTGTCAGCACACAAACTGACACATGCTGTCTATATTTGTCTATGCCATGACACATCGTCTAGCATTCAATCTCTTGGTGTTTTTTTCCAAGCCTCTCTCACCTTATAAACTTTTCTGTTGCCAGACATACCCAGTGGTGCAGATCCAGTCAATCTGTCTGCCTGTTCATTACCCACCATGCCATCATGGCCTGGAGAAAAGATCCAAAGTATGCTCACTACCTTTCCAGTGAAGCTTGACATTCTGCTTGAAGCATCCATGTCTTCACTTTTCTCAGCATGCTTTCAAGACAAAGAATGTCATCACATACCTTTTGTGTAGAATTGTCATATCTAGAGAGGTTACATGTTTTTCAAAGATTATAATTTTTTTTTTTTTAATCCAGGCTTTAGAAGCTACAAAACTTCTAGTTCGCAGCCATCACCGCACCAAGATGGAGCTCACAAATGAGAGTGAGTGTAATCTACTCCTGGAACGGTGGCTGTCTGTTGACTGCCAGAGAGCTATCGAAGCCTACCTGAGCAATGAGAAAAATCTGGCCTTCTAGTTGTAGTATAAGTGGACATTTCTGCGTTGATGTTATTGTTTGATTCATACACAATAGTATTGATGCAGGCTAGCATTTATGATGCAATCACGCATGAAGGGATGCATGGATGCATGAGTTGAAATTCTACTGTTTCTTCTATTTAATTGGATTTCTTGCATCAGGAATACAGATTAAAAATACTGTTATTTATTTCTATGTGTGTTTGGCATTTTGATTTTCATATGGAATATCTATTGAAACGTTGATTAGAGTATATTTTATTGCTATAGTATGAAGCTGGGGTGGCACAGTGGATAGAATATCTGCATACATTCTGGTGGTCATAAGTGTAAATCCTCATGGAGACCGATTGAAAGAATTATATGGGTTCTTAGGTTGGCCCATTCTAAAATGTACCTGGGAACATTCTGGAAAGTCAAAAAGTCTGCAGTGATATTGAATCCATCACCTAGTGTGGGTTCTGATTGGTCTAGCTTTGTTATCCAGTTTACCTCAAGTTGTGAAATCAAGTTCTTGTCGTCGGCAGCTGTCTTTCAAGACTTCTTCTTCGGGTGCAGTCCCACTCCGAAAGAAATGCCCATCCTATGTTGGACATAGTCCTAGTTGGGGGAAGGGGGGGGGGGGGGGACCTTTTCTAGGATGACCACAAAGAGCTGTAGATAGTTCTTGACCAGTGTGGGCCCTGGGTGTGGTGCACTACCATGTGTGGTTCAGCACCTCAGCACCCCAAGATCCTTCTGTCAGAAAACTGTTACCAGGAGGATGATAGCCTTTATGAAAAAATTATCTTGCGGTTCAAGTCTCCCTGTGTACCACATAGCCTTGTCTTTACTGAGGTCAGGCCAGGTGACCTCTCTGTTAGCAGCATACAGTTGAAAGTGTTGGAGTACATGCACAGCATTTTCTGGTGCCAGGTTGAAAGGACACATCTGTGTTTCCTGCACTGAAAAATGTGATCATATTTTAACGAAGATGGAGCCAAGAGTGCGATCATAGACAACAGAGGAGGGATATACACAGAATGCCAAAATCGTTTAAAGGTTAAACAATCTAAACCATTAGGTTCACATTTCTCCGGTTACAGAGCAGAGGCACATGCATTTCTGGTGGCTTCTTCTTTTCTGAATAGACAACAGCACAGTTTATACTTCGGAGTGGTCTTTCTGACTGATGCTATTTCGATTCTACAAGCAATTGTTAACCCAAAAGACAGTTTGTGGATATGGCACAACAGTTGATTTACTTAGGCTTATTCTTCAGGAGAATAATCTGCACTGCAGGGTCACTGTGACTTGCAAGGCAGTGAAATAGAGACTGGTCAAAAGCAGTAGCAACATCATGCAATCAGATTGTGAATTAAGCCATCAAAAGGATATTCATAAAAACTAGTATCCAAGCCAAGTAAGAAGGCTGGCTACCCACACCAAATTTTTTTTCACTAAGACTAATTTCATCACTTCTTTAGACAGATTTAATGTCATGTTCAGATTACGGACAAAACACAAAAGATCGCATTTTTCTGTGCAGATGTGTCCTTTCAACTTGGCACCAGAAAAGGCTGTGCATATACGTCAACTGTCATAGAGAAGTAAAGATAAAATAATATAGAGCACATGGAGAGAGAGCAGGAGATGACAAAGTATAAAAGCCCTAATTTGAGTGTTGATAATAGTCAAAATAAATTGAACATGTAAAAAGACATAGGCTCAAGAACTTGGTGACAACTGGTTAGAGTAACGGGAAAAGAGCAAGGGGGAACGCAAAGGGACAAATACATGGATGATTTGGTAATGTGGATGTGGTATGGCCAGAACACTTACCTGATCCATGATTCTGGTGATTGTGTGGGATGGTGAACCATATCCCCCTATACTTTTTGATAGGGCACATGAGAATGATGTAGTGAGTGGTTAGTGCTGGTATCTCATGAAGATCCGAGTTCGGTCCTTGGTAATGGGGGGGGGGGGGGATTTTTTTCTGCCGGGAGCAAAAATTAAAACCCTTATCTGCACAGTTCATGGCGACAGCTATATGACCGTAAATCCTCACTTACGTCTTCCTTGTCCTGCGCTGCCAAAACAGTGGTAAATAAAGTAAATTAAAGGACCTTTTTTCTATGCCTTCAGGCATATAGGGCTAGACCACTATTTTATAGACCAATTGGGGCTTGATGGTTGATGTGGTCAACGTCGTGTTGGTGACATTTACTTCCCAGGACTGTACCTGTTACCCATTTAAGGCTGGATTGACCCTTTGAACCAAGGCCATTTTTTTGGGGTAGGGGAGGGGGAAAATCGGAGTCAGTCAGGACCTGAACTCACAGCTTTATGATCCGCATGTGAGCATCTGGCTGCTACACCACGACGGCTCCCTAAAAGTGATAAATACAGGCAGCAGATACATAATGATGGTTAAGAGTTGGTTGAAGGCAATGCTCCACTGAAAGATAAAGAGCAGAAGAAAAAGAAGCCCTACCGTGTGAGTTCTGGAGCCTCATTGTGTGGGAGACAAAAATAGACCCACTATCCCTTTACAAACATGGCCTAAAAAGTTACTGATTGGGGGTGTTTCGTGAAGAACCAACAGTTCACACACAAATATAGCAGATCTGTAAAATGGATGTGGGCGCAAAACTCAAGTTCTGGAACAGGACCAAAGTCCAGAAGTTACCAAAAAACCTGGAGTTTACAGCCTGTAAATGCTAAGGAGAGAGAAGAAGAAGAAGAACCAAGACTGTAATGTGTTGGTGCAGTGTCGAGAAAAAGTTTTGGAACCAGAAACAAAGATGAATAAATATTCTTACATCCAAGATTTTTCTATATTATAGACCATTCCAAAAGTTCTGCCAACTATAAAAATCTAACTCGGTAACAATTTGATGTAATTTGTTGAAATTTGGCATGCAACCTCTTAATAATCATATCCTTGTAGGAAAATAGTTATAAAAAACAAATTCTAGTTTTTATTTTGCCCTATTTGTGGTACATGAAAAAAACAAAACAATTCAAACATACAGTTAGCATTGTTTTCAGTAAATAGCTTGGGTGAAATTGGCAAAATATCCAACTGCCCGTGTTTCAGAGGTAATAGGTGAGAAACTGAGGTGTGCTTATTTTGAAAAGTGAAATATATATGTTATGTACTGCCATAATGCTTGTTAATTGGCTCAAAAAGTAAATGAGTTGTATCAATTAATGACTATTCTGTTAAACATTTTTGTTAAGGTCACACAAATTAGTAGCCCAACAAAGATTACAGAAATTCGCAAACAGCAACACCTGGAAACATGGACATGGGAAATCTAAGACCACGTGCAAAAATTTGCGTTGATCCATAATACATAATAAGCTAGCTGCCTATCCTTTACAGGACGTTGCAGAACCAACCCCAGCATTTTTTTCAGCTGTTGTGGTTTTTGTAGGCAAATTTTACATTCAGTAGTTTGCCGTTGCTTTCTGAATGATCCATAAAAGAGTTTTTGTTAAAGTTTGAGTGCGTGACTTTTGGAATGGACTATATTTAAGTGTGTCTTTGTTCTCCCTTTTGTTTGTTTTTGTTTTCCTAGTGATGCGTTATTTTACCTTTAATATGAAGACAAGACTTGTTTGTTGCTTACATTTAATGTTCTGAAAACTCTTAATTGGTATTTGTCAGTCGTTGTCTGCATACTGTTTTCCCTGAAATTAAGACTTAGCCCCAAAATAAGTGCAGCACAATTTTTCGGGGTGCTTTTATAAAAGCACTATAACAGAAATAAGCCCTTGGTAAGATTGTCAGCTTGACTGAGAGACTTACTGCCAAATAAACAGTTAGAATATAGATCCCACTGGTGTGCGCTGGAATGAACAGATGTGGTTCATAATTCTAGCTACATCACTTGTGTGAAATAAAGAATGTTGGTGTCAGCCATTTCTTGTCAGAAGAAGATATGACTGTATTTGAATGTAGAAGTTTGTACTTGAATAAATGTTCATTTTTGTATCTGGGATAAAAAACAACAAAAAACAGCAAGACATCCCCCAAAAATAAGCCCTAGTGATTTTTTTAAAAGCAACAATTAATTTAAAACCCAGTCTTATTTTCAGGGAAACATGGTATTTGTTAATTTTTTAAATAAAAAAAATGATCATTATTTGTTAACCATTGCAGAGCTATTTCTTGCAGCCTACTGTTAATTATTGTTGATTATGTTAACTAAACAGTTTTAATGCTATTTGTTTCAGTTATGCAATGGTTTTCTTGTGATTTTTTAAAAGGCAAGGAAAGCGTTGAGCAATATTTAAACAACCATTTCTTGACAAGACAAACTCGCATCAGGTTGTTCGGGGTTGCACATATATTGTGACTGACAATTTGCATAAAAAGCACTATAATTAGAATACATATTGGTACTGACTTCACATAAGGGACCTCACTCCAATGAATGGTCCAGTTCCTCATTATTCTTCAGCATTTTGAGCCCTTGAGGTTCATTGCTGCAGATATTGCCTGCCTTTGTTCACCTCTACCATTGGCCATCTCTTTCCAGTTGATGATCTCTTTCTCAGGTGTTTTTGAATATGTATCCAAGCAGCTGCCACATGTGAACATTGACAATATTAAAACATTCTAAATGTTGTTGATTCAGTTGCACATTAGCCAATCGATAAGAGGCTCGCTTTCAAATCCAGCTGCGACTCGCTGCAGCCCACAGTCAGTGTTCGAAACCGGGTGGCTCCCGGGGTTCGCCCAACCTCTAGGAAATGGGTACCAGAGTTGACACTCTGGGGTAAATGGAGGAACGCCGCTGTAGCTACAGAGTTACATGTGAACGGCGACACAGGCGGAAAATTCTTATCAGCTTTCCGTACTGGTGGCAAAGCACTTATGGTTTATAACCGTGTGCAATGACGCTGGTTCACTTCTCCCGACTTTACCTTTACTTTACAACTTTTTATACATTCATTGATTACGCCATGTACCACATACTTCTCTGGAAAAACAGCGTGTTTTAACCC